TGGTCCCTTATAACAAATGGAATCTTCTCAGTTAACTCTTTTTACAAATTTCTTATCTTGAGAGGAATCAAATCTTCAACTTATAATCTCACTTGGAATCAAATTCTGTCTAGTAAGGTTCAATTTTTTACATGGTTATTATGTCTTAATAGACTAAACACCAAGGAAAATCTCCTGAAAAAAGGCTGGCAAAATGACTCTATGTGCCCTTTTTGTTCACTTCAATTAGAAACTATAGACCATTTATTCTTCTATTGCTCATTATCGAAGCAAGTCTGGAATCATTTCAGAAACTTCTTTTTTCCATTCCAATGGCCTTCTACTTTTGATGAACTTATTCATATTCTGGAGCCTCTTCAAAATACCAAAGGATATATATGGCGTTCTATATTCTCTTCAGTATGCTAGAATATTTGGATTACAAGGAATAAATATCTCTTTGAGCATGCAAATTTTAGCCATCATTCTATCATTAACACTGAAATCTCCTGTTTATATGACTGGTCAGGTTCAAAATCTGGAACAAAATCTCAACAAGTCTCGGCAATGTTGGAAATCAATCCTCCACCCAGGAGCAGTGCATGATGATGTAGTTGCCAGTTTGCCTAGAAAGCTTTTTTGGAGAGTTATAACTTGTAAATATTCTTTTGTTAACTTTTAAACCTTATGTTTCATGTTAGACATCAGTTTTTTAGTTCCTTGTATCTATATGTATGGCTGGCTTTGGTTCTTCCTTGTATCTATATCAACGGTAAATGACGGCAATGCCCTCTCTTCATCTTCATGGATCCTTAGAAGAAGAATGTCATACATCCCTAGTCACAAGGAACTAAGCCTACTGTTATCTAACATCAGGATACACTTCGTATCCAAATCTTTTGTATCACATACTTTTATCTTTAATTGAACAGGGTATATCCCTTATTTTTTAATCAAAAAAATTATGTAAGAAAGTCTTATAAAAAGACTACTTTTATTTTAAATATGTAATCGATAAACGTGTAATGGATTCAGTAATAAAAATAACTTTCGATGCAAACAACAAAGTTAAAAGAAAAGTTGACGTGATGCACTTTCTTGAACTGCAATATCAGCTACAGTAATAGACACACTTATTTGCTCATTTCTACACTTGGTTTTATAAATAGTAATCTTAGTTTTGTCTTATTTGTCTTCTTCATACCTATTTCCTATTGTGTTTCTTATTTGTTTAATCTTGATAAATGTTATAACCATCTCTCAAAAAATTATAAAAATAAAATTTTCACACCTTGAATTTATCCATACCTTCCTCGATATTCACCAAATATTAACCATTATGCCTCAAGAAGAAAGTACATGGACAATTCTTATCTTGATGAACTTGCTTGGTATTCACCAACAAGCAGGGCCGGTACATGATTATTTTTGGCATTATTTATTTCCTAGGAAATTTGTAATATTTCTTGCTTTGTTAAGATGAGTTCTTCATGGACCTACATATTGGTCATAACAAAGATCTTTTATCATCAGAGAGGATAACGAGCCTGTGAGACAAGAGCCATGATTTAGAATAAAGTTGGACATACAATAATGGAATGCTATTGTGAATGAATTAGCAATTAGTGTATTTACATCAAAATTTTAGTTCAAAAGCAGAATATTTTATCCCGCCGGTTGAGAACTTGCACATGCAGAAATCTTGCTAATTATTTGGAAGAGAGCTTCGATTTTGAATATTTATAATGAATCAATGTCTAAAAGAGAGTTCATTTTTATTCTTGATCTTCTACACATGTATAAATATTAAGGATACTTTCTTTAAAGAATATAAATTATCGTTTACTTTTACCATATACCTTCTACACATGATATTGGTCTTAATAAAGATCTTTTATTATGAGAAAGGATGGCGAGCCTATGAGACAGAAGCCATAGTTTAGAATGAAGTTGGACATACGATAATGGAAGGTTATTGTGAAGAAATAAGCAACTAATGTATTTATATTAAAAAAATTTACTTCAAGAACAAAATATCTTGTCCCGCTGGTTGAGAATTTGCATATGCAAATATCTTACTAATTATTTGGAAGAGAACTCCGATTTTGAACATTTGTAATGAATCAATGTCCAAAAGGGAGTTCACTTTCATTTTTGATCTTCTATATATGTTTAAATAAAGAGGATAATATTTTGAAAGAATATAAATTATCTTTTACTTTTACCATATATATACATAAAATTCTATCTTATTAGTTTTGAACAAAGTTTGTAAAATCGAATTGATATTTTTTGGCCATATAAAGTGAAAATTTTATTATGAAAATTCAAAAGAAAAAAATAAGTATGTCCACGTGTAACGCACATGCACTATATCGAATGGATATTTTTTGGCCATATAAAGCCAAAATATTATTATGAAAGTTCAAAAGAAAAAAAATAAATAGGTCAACGTGCAACACACGTGCACTATACTACTTAAAACAAAAGTGGGAGTCGTGAATGATGTCATGTAATGAGCATAGTTTTTCTTTAAGCAGACATATAATTAAGCATGTTAAAGTAAGTAGGTAAGTATCAGGCTGAATTGTTTTACAAGATAGAAACGTGTACGAGGTGGCGGCTTATTTTGTAAAATGTGCTATCAAGACATAGTTATGTGGTGAGGCTCATCTTGCTAGTCACATCAAAAGGTGTAGATCTCACCACTCTGTCTCTTAGTAGCTTATTTAACAAAATAAATTGTCACCTCATATACATACATACATACATACATACATACATACATATATATGTATGTATGTATATTAATGAGTATGAGATGCCTGCTTGTTATGTTAAATGAGCTATAAGAGTTAACCGTGTGATCAGATCCATCATAAAAGTTGCATCAAAAAAATGTGGGCATTACTCTTCTATCTCTTGATAGTTCATTTTTCTAAATGAATTGCCACCTCAATACCAGAAAACCCTTATACATAATGACGATTTAGATTCTTATCTTAACATCATCAAAAGTTCACACTCAGTTCCGCTCAAAGGGAAGATCCTCATGCCGCGTGATCTTGGTGCTTAAAAAAACTAAAGTATAATAATGGAGTACGTACATTAATTTTATTCGTTTCACTACTCTTTTATATAGAGAAGCATACGATCAGGCATCTAACAAATTATGATCACGAAGATCATGTTTCTCAAGAAACAAGTGGGGTATTTCTTTGTAAAATTATGCTCAATTTCACATGTGGCAATTCCTTGAAGATCTCTTCGATAGTTGAATAGATTAGATTCTCTATCTTCAACCCGTCCTCTGTATCCAGGGCCGCTCTCACATATAAAAAAAAAGAAAACTGAAAACCCTCTCTCTCTCTCTGACCTCTCTTCTTCCAATCTTCGGATCTTCCTCCCGTGTCCCGTCCTTGTCGCCTTGTCCTCCTCCCTCTCGGCTCTCGCCCGCCGGCCGCCGGCCCGCCTCCATTGACCAAGCCAAGGTTAGGGTTTCACTTCTTCTCTTCTTTACTTCTATGCTCCTTTTGACAAGATCGTGAATTGATGTAGAAATTTTGATTTATCTGTAAGTTCTCAGTTCTCACTAGGGTTTAGGAAGTAGGGCTTTGTGGAATTAGGGTTTAAGAATTAGAGCTTTGTGAAATTAAAATTGAAATTGATTAGGGCCTAAATTGAAATTGAAATTGGAATTAGTTCTCACTAGATTTTATTGTTTAATTTCAAATTTCAATTTAAATATTTGATATATTTTAGTCCCTAACATGCTTTTTGGTAGGAATTCTTGATTAATTTATTTTTCTTGATATTTATTAGATTGTAGCAGATTCAGAATTAAATTTAGATATCATGCCTTCTCGAAAGTATATGTCTGAACATGATAAGCGGATAAAGAAACGAGAAATTAAAGAATTCAATCGATCTCAAGCGGGAGCACTTGAAAATTTTATTACTTGTAGTAGAAATACATATTCTAATTTAGTTTAAGATTCGGTGAATGTTGAAAATGAGCAACCTGAAAATCAAGAAAGCGAGGATTTGGTTAATGAAAATTTGAATGAGAATAGAAATTTCATTGAAGAAGATGAAGAACATGAAGATTTGAATGAGAATAGCAATGTAAATGAACATGAAGAAAATGTAAATGAACATGAAGATTTGGTACAAGAAGAAAACCTTGAAAAAAGGTCTTCAAACATAAATAACCCAGGAAATTAAAAAAATATTGATCAAAGATTGAGAGACTTACTAGTTGAAAGAGGTCACAAAAGAAATGATAATCTTAATTTTCCAAAAGATTCAGAAGGCATACATTTCTCCTCAACATATTACATTCGTAACTTATCCAATGGTGAACATCATGATAGAAAATAGCTAATCTATTCAAATTTTTTGGACAAGGTTTTTTGTTTTTGTTGTAAGTTGTGCAAATATGATGCAAACAAAATTCAATTGGCAAATGATGTAGTTAAAGGCTAGAGAAATCTCAGTGCCAGACTTAAAAGTCAAGAAACAAGTAGTGAATACATTGTTAACATGAAGAGTTGGATTGAATTAGAGATCAGATTACGACAAAATACGACAATCGATAAAAGTGTTGAAGAACAAATCAACAAAGAACGAGAACATTGGAGAAAAGTACTATTGAGAGTAGTTGTTGTAGTGAAAACACTTGCTAAAAATAGTTTGGCATTTCGTGGAGGTAATGAGAAGCTTTATAAAGAAAATAATAGATATTTTTTAAGTATAATAGAAATGATTGCTGAATTTGATCGAATAATGAAAGAGCATGTTCGTCGAGTTCAGGAGAAAGAAATTCATTATCATTATCTTAGTCACAAAATCCAAAATGAATTTATTCTTCGAATAGCAGATAAGATCAAAGTTTAATCATCCAAAAGGTTAAAGAAGCAAAGTACTTTTCTGTTATTCTTGGTTGTACTTCGGATGCAAGCCATGAAGATCAAATGTCACTTATATTAAGATGCGTGAATATTTCAACAAGCCCAATAAAGATGGAGGAGTTCTTTTTAGAATTTTTAAAGGTGGATGATACATCAGGACGAGGACTTTTTGAAGAACTTATAAATATTTTGCAAGAGCTTAAACTTGATATTGGTGATGTAAGAGGACAAGGGTATGATAATGGTTCTAATATGAAAGGAAAACATAAAGGTGTACAAAGAAGATTATTAGAGATAAATCCTAGAGCATTCTACACACCTTGTGGTTGTCATAGTCTTAACCTTACACTTTGTTATATGGTAAACTCTTGTTCGCAAGCTTCATATTTTTTCGGAGTGGTGCAGCGCATATATTCATTGTTTACATCTTCTACAAAGCGGTGAAAAATTCTTACAGATAATGTTAAAGGTTTCACACTTAAGCCACCATCACAAACTCGTTGGGAAGGTCAAGTTGAAAGTGTTAAAGCAATAAGATTCCAAGCTCCAGATATAAGAGATGCTTTGATTTACTTAGCAAGTTCTAGTGAAGATCCCAAGATTAAAAGTGATGCTGAGTACTTAGCATCATATAAAATTGAGAATTTTGAGTTCTTACTTGGTATGGTTATTTGGTTTGATATTTTGAATGCTATTAACAAAATAAGTAAAATCATGCAATCAGAGGATATGCAGATTGATGTTGCTATAGACCTTTTAAGAGGGCTCATTTCTTTTTTTGAAAGCTACAGAGAAAATGGATTTGAAACAGCTATGGTTGAGGCTAAAGAAATTACAGTTAGAATAAAAGTTGAACCCATTTTTCGTGAACATCGCATTATTCGCAGAAAGAAACATTTTGATGAAAATGCTAGTAAAGAGATGGCAATGACAGCTAAAGAGTCATTTAGAGTCAATTACTTCATATATATCGTTGATCAAGCTCTTTCTTCACTCAAAGTAGATTTAAACAGTTTCAACAGTATGATCAATCTTTTGGTTTCTTGTTTAATTTGGAGAGGTTGAAGTCTGCAGATAATGATAGTTTGAAGTGTTCATGTCTTAACCTTGAAGATCTCCTAAAGCATGACAAAAAATTTGATATTAATGGGACAGAATTATTTTCAGAACTCCAAATCTTAGGAGAAGCATTACTAAGAGGAACAACAAAAGCAATTGAAGTATTGAATTTTATGGAAAGGCTAAATTATTGTTTTCCAAATGCTTGGATTGCTTATAGAGTATTATTGACAATACCAGTTACAGTTGCATCGGCAGAGAGAAGCTTTTCAAAGTTGAAGCTCATCAAATCTTATCTACGGTCAACAATGTCACAAGAGAGATTGAATGGATTAGCTATGATATCTATCGAAAAAAAATTATTGGAGAAGCTTGATTGGAACATTTTAATTGATAATTTTGCAGCTCAAAATGCAAGGCGATCCCATTTAATGTAGTATGAATTGTGTTATTTATAAAGCATCAAGAAGTTTTTTGATTTTAATATTAATACGATTATGTGTTTATTGTCTCATTTTAATAAAAAATATTTTGCTATCTTATAAAAAATTTTGTGTATGGAATATTGTATATAGAGGCCCCTCATTTGTAAGCTTGATTAGGGCCCCGTGAAAAATTAAGAATATCAGGGCCAACCCTGGATTCTCTAACTGGTACATTGACTATGATATGTAGATTAGTACCAATAGGATCTATCTAAGTTGCTAAGTTGTCTATGAGTAGTACTCCAATGTCTCATGTCCAACTCTCCTAGCGAGCACTCATAGAAATTTAATTTTATGGATTATATGAGGCCGTGTGTTGGGGGAGTTCTCTACGAAAAACTAACCACCCCCCACCCCACCCCCCACAAGGGGGGGACTCCATCCTACCCAATAGAAAAAGTCAAAATTTTACTCTTGTATTATACCTAAAAATGTAGAGGCGAGACTATCAAAGAATTTTTTATTTTCGGACCATTTACATTCCAAGCCATTTTTATATCATATCACTGCTTATGGGCTTTTCTACTACACTTGCTGCGGCAACCGTGGCAGAGAAAACAACTCAAAAAGTCCCACTTATACATGAAGACACGTATTTCAATGCAACAAATTTTTTCCTCGGAATTCCAAAATTTCTTGGGCCTCACGTAATGGGCTTGTTCAGCTATCTTTCATCTCATATAGCAAGGGGTTTCCAAAAGAGCCCCTTCTAAGACTTATCTAAAGTCACTTAGGCCCAATATCAAAATAGCACCAGTGTGCGTGTGGGCGTTCTCCAAACAAGCTTGCATCCTACTGATTGGTTATCTTGATCCCCGCCAGCGTACTAAAGAGGACTGTTTAAGTTTTCAAGTAGGGGTGGAAATGAACCAAATAATTAATAAATGGTTCGATAATTGTTCGAATAACTATTCGATCATATTCGATTCGGTAGTTCATTTACCACTAAACAAATATTTTTTAGTATTCGGGTTTACTAAAGAATAGAATTTAACCAGATGTATATTCGATTCGTTTATCTATTAAATATTCGCTTAAAATTTGATCACAACTTATTATTTGTATTATTACACATATGATGTTAAATTTTTAACTCGTTTACCATTGTTACTTAAGTTTTATGTACTGATTTTAAGACTTAAATAATCTTAAATCCATTTTCTAATTAAAATTTTGATTAAAATATATATACATCATATATTATAAAGGAATAATTTTTATTTATGAATTTTAATACTATTTGGAAATCAAATTCTTTAGCGGAATAAATATAGTTTGATATTCGATAAGTATTTGTGAATATTCATGAATATTTATCAAATACCAAGTATTCGAGTTCGAATTCGAAAAACTAGATATGTGAATATTAGAGTCCACATTCGAATTCGATAATTTTAAACAAATACAAATACGAACACCTTAGCATTCGATTCGATTCGATCGTTTACCACCCCTATTTTCAAGGCCATAGAACATACCCCGCAGGGTTTGTGATGTTCAGTGTGTATTACAGTGGCGGATCCACAACCTCTCGTGTGGTGGTTCAAAATAAACGCAAATTTTTTTCCCAGATGCTATTAAAGAAAGCATAAAAATTAGGCTAAACAAATAATAGTAAAGAGAAAAAAAATTTTTAGAGAAGCAAAAAAAAGGATAATAGGAGAAAGTAGAAATATAAAGAGGCTTTTGGGAGGTTTTGAACCTTTGACCTCTTTTATGTAAGCAAATGCTTATACCACTAGGTTGTAAATTACATTTGTTTACAAACTGATATGTATAATATATATATACTATTTGAAAATCTGAGGTGGTTTTGTAAATTACATTTGTTTACAAACTGATATGTATAATATATATATACTATTTGAAAATCTGAGGTGGTTCAAATGAACCACTTTGAACAAGAACAGGTCTATATATACTATTTGAAAATCTGAGGTGGTTCAAATGAACCACTTTGAACAAGAACAGGTCCGCCACTGGTGTATTATACTAGTGATCGGAGGATTATTTGATTTAAGTTAATCATACGTGTCCTAATTAGAACAGGTTCACCACATATGAAGCTGTTGATATCGCTTTTTTTATGAGTAATAATACTTGTACTGGCAAAAGGACCGTTCGATTAGGATGCACAATGGTGATGTTTAATGACGTGAGGCATCTTCCATAAGTTTTAAGTTAAAAAAACACTATTGATAATGTTTGGTGTAAATATATAGATAAGGGAAAACTGCTTCTAGCCCCCAACTTCCTTACAAGTATTCCATCCGCCCCCAAGACTTTTTCAACGGTTTCAAAACCCACAAAAGCAAACTTATAATTCCCTAAGCCCCCAAAACACAAAACCTAAAAGTTTAAAACATGTGAAGACCATAGTACCCTTTCTCTCTCTCTCTCTCTCTCTCTCTCTCTCTCTTCCACCAACTTCCAATTTTCAATTTAGGAGCCAAAACTCTCCAACTTCCAATTTTCTCGTCGGATTTCAACAGTGGTAAGGATATCGCCGGAAAAATGTCGTCCGCGGAAGTAGAATCCGTTAACGATTCCGAAGTCGAGTTGTGCGCCAACTTCCATAAGTTTACATATTGTTGTAATTTTTTTAAAAATCAATGAATTGAGACTAAAGTAGTTATATATTGTTGTTATTTCACTGTAATATTTGTTATTAAGCTTATGAGTTGGTGGTGAGGGAATGTTACATGTTGGTTTTGAAGGTTACGAGTTGGTTGTGAAGTTTACGAGTTAGTTGCTAAGGGTACGTGTTGGTTGTGAAGGTTACAAGTTGGTTATGAAAAGATTATGAGTTGGTGTAGGCGTCAAAAATTGCCTATATGTTCCTGAATGCAGCTCGAGACGAA